TATATATATATATATCGATAAACGTGTGATCCTGTAACATGGAAAAGGGCAAATTCAGGGTGTTCCATTACTGTCCTGTTTTGTCAAATGAACCGCAGTAGGCGAAGATTGCGATGTCGATGACATTACGTTGTGCACTACATATCAATCGATACTTCTTCTCTCCTGAGTGTTGTTAGATTAAGACCAAGTTCATCGAAGGTGACCTCATATACTATTCAAGCCACGCATTACATGAACAGAATAAGGTGTGCATAAAACCATTATCCGTCACATCATTTGGGCCGGGGGGAGGGGTTTGAAATGTAGGTGCGAGCAGGCAAAGATGTCAACGCGGTGATATAGCAAGCAGATGTGTACAGTCTGGCGACACCTAACGTAACACGTTTATACGCATTTGACAAACATGGACAGTCGCACGTGCAGTTGAACACATACGTAGTGTGTGATGGAAAAGAAAGCTCTCGATGTAGCCTTCAAACAGGTGAGACGGCGGGAAGACATGCAGAAGCATCACCAGGATCTCCCAACCACGGATGACACTCTCTCTGTAATCGGTGTACACGGTAATGAGATGTACATGAGTGAAGAAACCTCTATATCACTCGTTTTTGAAACAGTTCCATGATAGATGGATTGTACGAGAGTACAAGTCACGAATGGTAGTCTCGGGGTGGGCAATGAATGAAGAATCAGGAACACGAGTGAGCAGCGAATCATGTAAGATACTCTGGTGGGGAGAGAAGTAGACTTCAAGCCAGCACCAGCTCCCACATGCCCTAGTCATCCTGGATTACGTCACCCACATATGTGGAGGGGTTGCATGAAAAGTAAACTTTAAGCAAGCACCAAATCACAAGTGCTGCTCGCTGCGTAACGAGCCTGGAGACCTTACACTTCAATATGTTACACATGTCTCTATGTGGCGCTTATCAAGGACTGTACATGGATCTGCAAATGTGATACGTGCCTAAAACAACCACTGCTCACACACCGCCCAGATGCGCACCAACCATCCCACAACCAATGCATACACATACATCGCCCACATTTTACATGGACTTGTGCTCACAAGACATATCGCTCAGGTTTGTGCTCACAAGCACCTCAGATGCGTACCATCACCTCGTTACTACTGTCTTTAGTATGTGCATACAATGTGTGCGGGTATAAACTCAGCACATACTCATTGGGGTTGTTTGTCATCTGCTTGCAGACCTGCACGAACACTTCATCCCGCAGCGGCTTGTGCTCGTACGCTAGCTTGGAGAGCCTCACCACCTCTCTCATCTCATCACGTTCGGGTACGTATTTGTGCGACGTTCGGTCTCCCATGTACGTCTGAATCATCTTGAATATATCTGCTGCCTGGCGCTTGAGCTCCTTGGGCAACCCGTTGGTCATTGGGTTCCGGATTTCGTCCTATACGTGCACACGTATGCATGTATTACAGATTTTGTGAGAATACGTGCGTGGGTGTCTGTCTGTGAAGTGGACATGTACAGTTTCTCCCGTTTCTCCCCCCGGTATGTATATAGAGCAACCAACCTCTGGGTGGCACGCATGCTATGATATAACCTACTAACCTTTGTCCAGGCCATAGATGTCTCGAGACTCTGTTTCTTCTTAAACAGCCCTCCAGTGGTTTGGATCCCGATTTTCTCTGCCGAGTGATATTAAACAATTTATATTGTTTTAAAATACAAACCGACCCAAATAGGTGCGGTGCACTCAAGATGCACAGAGATGATGCAGATCCGTCGACGTCTCGCGTGGTGTCAGGAATAAGTATTACACACTACATGTTTGACTACTTCCAGAAACAGTGTTGGCACTTAATGTAGGCTCGCCGGTGAAGATACACTTCTCTGATATAAACTACTAGTTCTCTGCCTTGATTAGATTATGTCTGCACTTTTGCTTCGGTTATGTGGACACACACATGAGCATACGGCATGACAGATATACGTACACATATAATCACCTCACCAAAAGCATTCTTCGTATGCACACCCCCACACAGACTGGCACACATACCCTGGAAGAACTTGTTGTACTCCTCCAGAGGCTTGATTTTCATATCAGCAGCATCGGGTTCTACTTTCACGCGCACAGACATAGCACGAGGGCGTATCTCCTGTCGTATCAAATGATGTAGGTGTATGTGTGAGAAGTGTCGTATTTGTAGTTGTACATAGTTGTAGTATGTTCTTGCTATACAGGTGCGTGTATATGCATGTATGCGACCTTCATGAAAGTTGACGTCGAACTGTATTTTTGCTGACTGCAATAGCAACTTTGCGACACTCTCAATTGTAATTTGTATATCTGACTTCAGAATTATAACGTATCAGTTCCTGTACTCTATCCTATGGTACTCACATAAAACCTAGCTTGGCATCCTGTACTCGACTATATGAATCATATCGATAAAATTGACATTCTTTTTATACAACTGATGTTGCGTTCAGCAGGTACAGTCCAATAAATAGTCATCACCATCTCAAACACAATGCTGCATAACAACATACCTCTTTTGACATGCGCCGACTGTGGCTAAGTAGATGCGTCAGATTCTCTTCTGAACAGCTTTTTTTCCGCGAGGGTAACGTCATTTGTCCATTGATAGCCTGGCCAGAGGGTGCTACGGGTAAAAGTATGGGGGTTTTTATAAGATTGTATATCAATGTGTGTATCAGGGCGCTACGGTAAAGGTATGGGGTTGGGATAAGGTTGTATACGAATGTGTTTATTTGGGTGCTACTGGTAATGATACGGGATTAGTATAAGATTGTATGCGAATAAGTTTATTCGTACTGTGGTGTAAAAGTTTGAACTTCGAAATCCTTGCAGGTATTGGTGTGGAAAATGTGGTATAAGGTTGTATACGAACAAGTGTATTCGTACCGTTGTGGGCAAATTCCCACTCAACGTGTGTGTGTTGCTGTTCTATGGTGTCTTGTGTGCGTGGATGTATGCATGTGTCATGGCACATGTTGCTCCCACTGCAAAACTTAATGTTACGACGAAAAGTGGTTCGGGGTGGGCATGTTTACCAATTTTTACGAGCTGATCGAGGTCATTTCTGCTGCATCTCGATAATTGTCGATCTTAATCTTATTTTATGCGAATAGTGAATGTACTGGTTAACTTGAGCAAAAGAAAGACTTCATCGTCGCCTATCCATATGATATATCTCGTTTACAGATTACTTTGAATCAGAAACATTTTCAATGGAGTCATCACCAACGTATAGGCTCGCTTTCTCTTCTGCCGTGTGATATGAACGGTAATACGTATCCTATTATCTACTATGTACGCTCTAAATTAGCCTAAACACTCCACATACCAACGTTGTCACCCTGGTCGCGCATCCACATGCTGCGTTTGCCCTCGAGTGTCATAGGCTTTGCCTTTTTCCCCTGTGTCGTAGCCCTACGCTCTAACGTCAGACTGCGCGTGTGCTGTGCGGAAAGATTTTTCTATTTATAGCATCGAGTAAAAGGTTTATATTTAGAATAACATTGCGTATAAAGCTTATATCCAGAACAAGGAGGGAGAGATCGGGATGTGGACAGGAAAAAGCCAGTGAAATGTACAAGACGAAGCAAGCCCATTTGTATATATAGCAAGTGATACCTTTGCCAGGTTTTGTTGTATTGGAGGAATTTGCAATAGTGAACAAAGTGCTGTCATTCTCGATCTGTTGACCCCTTCAGGATTTAATTTGACAATATAGCCGGACTTCCTCAATCCATGTGTATATTGATTTATGTGCCAATGTCTATATATATAT